TGACTTTTCAGATTTTTTTTCAATATTCTGATATGCTGAGTCAAGAGGTACAAATAAAAGATAAGCATGTACATGATAACAACGATTTTTATTCAGCTTAGGATCCCACTTATACATTAAACATCTCAATTAACAGTTCTGCACTCAATGTAACTTCGAATGGTATTGAAAAAGTTTTCCAAATTGGCAAATTAAAAATGTCAAAAAGAATTGTAAAATAAAATTAAATATTTTAACCATTAGCATTTAAACAAAGTTATTAATTACTGTATTTATAACATTTTTTTAAAAATCATTAATTTTAGAAAAAAAATTAAAAAGATTTTAAGTTCATAGAGAATGTTTAATTAATTTTTGCATTAACTGCTTTTAATCCTTTAACTCCCAAATTAGTAACTCTGTATNATGGTGTCTTTATTCTTATTCAGACCTTCAAAATATTTAAAGATTTGAAACAAAACAAACACAAAACAGTGAAGGACAAATACATGAAAAAGATTGTAGTGTGATAAGATTGTGTAAAATATAACACAAAAATTTAAACATTTGTGCTGGCACTTAGTGAAGTGATGGCTTAGACAAGGAGAATAAATAACGGCATGTGGTAAAACCGTAACCTACTCAGGGAATGACGAAGAAAATCAAACGGAGTGGGTATAACAGAGATGTTCCATGTATCTGATAACTTTGATTTAATTTTAATAAATTTTCCCCTGATCTCAAACATATCTTTGAGTGATAACCCATTGGTTCATGAGGACATAGCGCACACAACCCTCGAATTTTCATGCACAGCAATTAATCAACCTAATTTAAATAATAAATCAAATGTTACATATAACTATCGTAGGGCAAACTTTGATGAACTTAACCAATATTTGACATCAATAAATTGGAACTCTGAACTGCGACATGGCAGCATTGAACGTCTCTTGAATGTTTTTTATTTTCATTTGAGGTACGCAATTGAAAAACATGTACCTAAATTCAAAGAACGACCCGGGGGATACCCAGTGTGGTTTACACCTAGCACTATAAGGGTTCTCAGTGAGAAGAAAAAGGCCCACAGGAGGTGGAAGCGGTATGGGAACCGGATCGATTATTTGTCTTTCTCATTGTTGAGGGGTCGCGCTAAACATCTTATTAATACCGATTATAATAACTACATTCAACGTACAGAATCAAATATTACAAGTAATCCTAAGCACTTCTGGTCTTTCCTTAGGCGTAGGAGGGGTGCAAGTGGTGTTCCAGCGGTGATGACATTGGGTGACTCTGTTGCTACGGTCGGTGAAGACATTTGCTCTTTATTTTCAGATTGCTTCGGCTCAGTTTTCACTGCTTCGGCGGGTGCTGGGCCGGCTCGTTGTGATATTGCTGTGGGTTGTTCTGGAGTCTTATGTTTTGATCGCGCGGAGGTGGAGGTGGCACTGAGGGAGATTGACGGGACCGGAGGACCGGGATCGGATGGTATTCCTGGTTTCTTGATAAAAAATTGTTACAAGTCACTTTCATTTCCCCTTACTATTTTGTACAACGTCTCCTTAAGTACTTGTGTTTTCCCGTCTGCCTGGAAGCAAGCTCACGTTATACCAATATTCAAGTCTGGTAACCGTAATGATGCGTCCAATTACAGACCAATATCTCTTTTGCCACAGTTCAGTAAGGTTTTCGAGAGGCTTGTATATAAACGTTTATTTTTTGCTGTTAAGAGTATGATTGACCCCAGACAACACGGGTTTCACGCTGGTCGCTCGGTCGTGAGCAATTTGCTACTATACTCGGATTATATTCTTAACTCACTTGAACAACTATACCAAGTTGATGCTATTTATACTGATTTCAGCAAGGCTTTCGATCGAGTGAATCATGAACTTCTGCTGAACAAGCTGGCAAAATTTGAAATTAATGGCAATTTACTTTGTTGGATTGCATCTTATATCCGGGACAGAACTCAGATTGTATCAGTGAATGGTTATCTATCCGACCCTATTCAGGTTCCATCTGGGGTCCCGCAGGGCAGTCACCTTGGTCCGCTACTTTTTACTATTTATATTAACGATATCTTCTCTGTTATTAAACATGCTCAATGTTTAATGTATGCTGACGACCTTAAACTTTTTCTGCGTATCACGTCTCCGCGCGACTGCTCGAAGCTTCAGTTGGACATAGTTGAGTTGCAACGGTATTGCGAAGCTAATTTCATGACGCTTAACCGATCAAAATGCAATGTTATTACTTTTAGTAGAAGATCAAATGTCATTCATTTCGATTACAACTTTGATCGGGATGGTATACAACGAGTATCCTGTATTAGAGACTTGGGAGTCATGTTTGATGAGAAATTGTTGTTCAGAGAGCACGTTGATGGAGTAGTTAATAAAGCTTGGCGCATGTTGGGGTTTGTTATTAGGTCTACTGAGCATTTTTCTAACATAAATGCAATTAAAACACTATATTTTGCTTATGTTTACAGTATTCTAAACTACTGTAGCGTTGTGTGGAATCCTCATTACCACATACATATCGATAGATTGGAGCGGGTGCAGAGAAAATTTTTGAAGTACTTGTGTTATAAATCTCATTTAGTGTATGATGACTACGACTCTACTTGTGCTTCTTTACGGTTTCTGTCCCTCCATCAGCGTCGCACCTGCAATGATTTGCTATTTTTTTTCAAAATTCTCAACAATGAGTGTGATTGCGCCGGGCTCGTTAGCTTGATTAATATTCACGTTGCACCGAGAAATTTGCGATATAATTTTTTGTTCTTCACTCCGGCTGCGCGTACGAATGCGTTCCTCCACTCCCCAATGATGAGAATGGCAAGAGCGGCTGATCGTTTCCCAATTGACATTTTTCGGTGCATGTATCCGGTATTTAGACGTATGGTGACGACTGCTGCACTGGCCTCGCCGACCGGACTGGTCTGATTATAGTTTGTCTCTAATTTTACATTAAATTTAATCGGAATTTAATCGAATTTTACTCGTCAATTGTTACTTATATACATACATATATATATATATATATATTTTTTTTATAGGTATTTTTTGTATAATTTTATGTTATGAATTACTGTTATTTACTTCATTTGGTTTGCGTCTCTATATGTATTTTTTCTGGCTTATATTGCGCTGATATTTCTGTTTGATTTCTTTATGTCAATTTTGTGATGCAGTATTATAGGGTTTGTCCCGTTCTGTATCCATTTGTATATAAAACTTTGATAATGGGCGATCTAAATCATTAAAAAAAATATGGCCCAGGAAGTAGAAATAACAACGGTGAATTATTTGTATACTTCTGAATGAACAACGACTTAGCAATTGGAGAAACATTCTTCCCACACAAAGCCATATACAAAATATCTTGGACGTTACCAGATTGGAGAACACAAAACCAAATAGATTATATAGTGATAAGCAGAAGGTGGCGAAGCTCATTACTAGATGTGCGAAATAAGAAGGGTAGATATGATATTGACGATTAGCAACAAACAGGCAAATACTACAGGGTAAAAAAGGAAAACTGAACGTGGTCAAATTTCACAATCTTTTCATACAACTATGTCAAAACGCAAACAACAGAAAGAGAAGGAAACGTCAAAACATTAACAGATACAAAGTCGGAATCACTTAAATAACACACAATAAAAAGGCAGAAAAAGACATAATTAAAACAAACAGAAGCATACTGGGAGAGAGGAAAGAACTCAAGAAGGAATTGATAGCAGATGATACGTGGAGGCTGATACAGTAGAGAAAAGAGATGAAGCAGAAAATCAACCAAACAGATGATATAAACATGAAAAGAAAACGAAGATACTAGAATGTAAACATAGGGATAAAGAGATCAGCTAGGAGAGACAAGAGGCAGTGGATCGATCGACTCATGGAACAAGCAGAGGAAGTGAGTAAAAAGAAAAATACAGGTGGTCCATTTAACGTGAGACATAAACGTGATTTTACATAAAAATGAACCAAAATATGAAAGTTGTTCTGTGCAAAGGGGGAAACCATATACGATAACCTTTGATTATATATAATATGGATTGAGCTAACTGAATATATCTACTAACAAAAATGTTGCTCAAGGTGAATAGACGCAGATGGAAAGCGATAATGTGAAAGTGTAACAAAGATAGATATATTATATGTCAGTACGCTTCTATATCTATCTTACTTCTATCAGTACACCCATTATATGGCAGTACGCTTCTATGTCTATCTCGGTTCGATCACCTTGCGCAAGCTATCTCTCTCGTTGGCTCAATCCATATTATATATAATCAAAGACGATAACCAATTTTTTAAATGTAAACGATGAAAATTATAATTAATTTATTTTTGTACTTTTTTACTGGTTTATTATTCTTAAATTCAGCTTAACATGTTTCGACAAATGTCATCTTCAGAATCGCTACAATACGATATTGAACAATATTTAATTGAATTTATAAAAATTAAAAGAAAGACTTACTCGTTAAATTTAAAAACTTGAGTTCAAAAAACGCACGTGCACTTTCAACATTTTAAACTATTACTTTTCTTTGTCACAATATTAAAGATGATTACAAATTAAATTTCAAAAATTAAAAATTTCGTAAAAAATATTTAAAATATAACAGATTAACACGTTAAAAAGTAAAGTTACATCGGAAAATCGCCGTTATGTCGAAAACGGCCGGGTGGATTTCCTCGCGGATTTGACCAAAATATGTCAAATAATGTCGGTTGTCGGATTCCATTATCAGTTTTTCAAAATAAGAGCTCCCTAATTTTTTAAGAGCGATTTAATGGAACTACAAATTAAAGAGAAGCAGTAGTAAGCTGTGCGGGGTGACGGGGGTTCCGTCCAATCGGAACAGATGGTGCGTCCCAGACAGGACGTCGCGCCTTATTTCTTTATGTAGGTAAGATAAAGGCGCGACGTACTGTCTGGGACACACCATCTGTTTCGATTGGACGGAACCCTCCTCTCTCCACATAGCTTAAAGTGCACGCGCATTTTTTGAACTCAAGTTTTTAAATTTAACGAGTAAGTCTTCCTTTTAATTTTTATAAATTCAATTAAATATTGTTCAATATCGTATTGTAGCGCTTCTGAAGATGACATTTGTCGAAACATGTTAACAGGGCCCGCTCTAGGGGCGGACCATCCGGACATTTGTCCGGGGCGGCAGCTCTAAAGGGGGGCTCAGAATGTGATAAAATTTTGATAATCGAATTTAATCGAAATTTTTGCTTGTCGATTTTCTCTTTGACGAAACTTAAAATGCAATTTATACTTTGTATTTGTATTTACTATTTTTGTAAAAACTAAAAAAAAATCCACAACTCTGAAGAAAACAATATTAAGGGTGTAGTTACGGTCCATACAAAATCCCTAAAAAACTACCTAAAATCTCCCACCAGTTTTGTTGAATATTATGTTTTTTTCAACTAAATATAATGCATTTTTATATAAACAAAGTCAATTTACATTTTTCAAGAAATAAGAATTTAAATTTACGAGCGTGTTACGTTCATAATATGGCAAAAGCTTCTTCGGTAGCCGCTAATTTCTTCAATATAATCCAGAAACTATATTTATTTTTTTTATCATCTACGTTTCGGTGGGCAATACTTTTGAAACATATTAAAGGATTAACTTTGAAACCATTGAGTGCCACTAGATGGGAGAGTAGGATAGAGGCCTTAAAGCCTTTACGATTTCAAATAGGAGAAGTATACAACGCTTTACTCAGCATTTATGAAAATCAAGATATTGACAATTTAATAAGAGACGATGCTTCGGGATTATTAAATTGTATTAAACAGTTTAAGTTTTTGTGTTCGATAGTTGTTTGGTACAAAATCTTAAACTGCATTAATCCTATAAGCAAAGTAATGCAAACAAAAGATTTCGATCAAGCATCTGCACTTGACCTCTTACAAAATTGCAAAAAATTCTTTAAGGATCTTCGATCGGACAAGTCTTTCAATGAAAGTATAATTGATGCAGGAGAGCTGGCTGCCGAAATTGACATTGAAGTTAATTTTGAATCAACAATTCCACGACACCGCATACGAAGAAAAAAAATATTTTCTCATACGAATCTCGAGATGAACCGATTGAAGATCCCAAAGAAAAATGTAAAATAGAATTTTTTTATTTTACAATTGACCAAGCACTAAATGCACTAGATACTAGATTTGAACAACTCAATCACCACAGTAGCTACTTTCAATTTTTATATAACATATACGATTTAAAAAACATGTCTAAAGAAACATTACTAAAACACTGCAAGGAATTGGAATGCATTTTAGCTGACGGCAAATCTGCTGACATAAATGGGGTAGAATTAACAGAGGAAATTTTTGCCACTGTTAATTCTTAATCCTAAAATTAATAATCAAGTTAAATTTTGTCCCAAACCTAAGTATTGCCTTAAGAATATTGCTCACTATACCAATAACTGTAGCAAGTGGAGAAAGAAGTTTCTCTAAATTAAAATTAATTAAAAACTTTTTACGATCCAATACCACACAAAATCGTCTCAATGGTTTAGCCATTTTGGCGATTGAGCATGAAATTGTTGATCAGTTAAACTTAAAAGACGTGATAAAAAAGTTTGCGGAAATAAAAGTCAGAAAAAAGTTTCTTCTAAGTGATCTTAGTGTTGTTGATGTTGCTTACTTACATATAGTTTTTATATGACATAAGTTTTGTTATGTGTAGTAGCAATAATATATTTTATTTTACTGTTTTTCCTTACTTGAATGTTAATTATATTATATATATATTTTTTCTAAATATACGTTTTCTGTGTTTTAAAAGGATTTGATTTTTATTTGACTTAAAAAGTAGATAATTTAAAAATGTACAGTGTCAGCCAAAAAGTTTGTATCAATAAATTAGCTATATATTTTTGATAGCATAGCTTTATATGGTTGATTATTTGATGCAGATTTTTTGGAAGCCATTGTATGTTTAAAGGGCGGTAGTTTGTCTTTTTGTCCGGGGTAACGTAAACGCTAGGGAGGGCGCTGATGTTAAGCTGAATTTAAGAATAATAAACCAGTAAAAATGTACAAAAATAAATTAATTATAATTTTCATCGTTTAAATTTAATATAATACTGGTAAAATGGATTACACAATCAACATTGATTATTTTAATTTTTTAAATGGTAGGGTGCCATTATATTTTATTGTAAAATTTGAATTTGTGGATAAAAGTAAAGGAATTACAAAAATTTTACTGTGTGGTTTCGCCAGCACAACGGCAAAACATCTTTTGAAATAAATTGAAACTTTTTCAGAAACAATTAACTAACGTTTATAATCTAGCAAGAACAAATAAGATTTATGAATTTTTAAACATTTTCCTACCCGCTTCGATACATTGTCTTTAGTTCTTAATTCTTAGAATACTATTTAAGAATGCTCAACAAAAAAAATCCAGAAGAGGTAGAGGTGACCTGGCTCGTCGGAAATACCTTTGGAAAGAGGTCTAAAAGGTTCCGACATTTCTCCGCCTTTGTCAATTTGATAATAGAATAACGTATAAAAAACAAGAGTTCGTGGAACTGCTTATGTCGGCATTTTCAGAATATCGCTTTCAGAGACTTAATTGGTTGAATTGTTTTAAAATGTAACAGGTAAAACTAAATTTGCATAAAAACTGCTTGGCAACAAATTCTGAATTCATTCCATAGTTTTACATTAAGGCAAAGTGTTTAAACTAAGTTATTAAATCATGGATACTCTAAGTATGGCAGAAAAAGTAGAAATGATTTTTATTTATGGAGAAAGTGGCAGAAAAGTTGCTGATAGTATAGCTTTGTATCGAGAACGTTTTCCTGATCGAAATACGCCTTCGAGAAGTACCTTTTACAGAGTTGTGAATGATTTCACTAACACTGAAAATGTGGAATCAAGAAAAAGAACTCGGCGAGCAACTGTAACTACGGAAGAAAAGGAAATTGCGGTATTAGCTACCGTTGAGGTAAATCCTCAAGTTAGCACTCGACGACTTGCAATTGACGTCGGAATATCAAAGACCAGCATTTTAAGAATATTAAAGCGCAACAAGTATCACCCATACCACATTTCATTGCATCAACAGCTTTATGGAGGTGATTTTGAAAATCGATTAATATTTTGTCAATGGGCACAAGAACGAATGCGGTTGGACGTCAATTTCTTTGGTAACGTGCTATTCTTGGATGAGTCTACTTTTACAAAAAACGGACAAGTCAATACACATAACATGAACTATTGGAGTGTTGAAAATCCGAGATGGTTGCGTGAAGTAAAACATTAACAACCTTGGTTGGTTAATGTTTGGTGTTGCATAATTGGTGATAAATTCGGTCCATACTTTATTGATGGTATGCTGAATGGGGAGAAGTACCGACACTTTTTAGATGACGTATTACCAACGTTACTTGTAGATTTGAGCAGGGAAGAAAGACAAAATATGTGGCTGCAAAATAATGGCTGTCCAGCACATTTTTCACATATTGCACGTGAAGCTTTAGATCAGGATTATCAGGATAATATTTATCGCGTAGTACCGACTACGCCAGAAAACATGAAAGAACGGATAAAAAATGCATGCAGAAATAGTAGCCAAAAAAACCTTTTAAGATGTAAAGAAAGTTTTAGTACAAGCACAATATTGAACCCCTGTATGAGGGAGAGCTAACAAATAAAACCAATACTAACAATAAACCATAAACCTCACCACCCCAAATCTTTTTTTGCAAGTACTGCTTACCGATTTTGGTGCAATTTATCATGTGATTTCTTTATACATTAAGTAGTACTTTTGAAAGAACTTATAACCTACATTTAAATGTATGTGGTGAAATAATCTAAGTCGTAATCTTGATTCATACCATTTTTAAGCGATCTGTCACTGCCAGCTCTCGTGGTTTCTACTATACACTTTTCTGACCTGCACTAACTTGACATGACATTGCACTTACTTACACTTCATTGCACTACTATTGGACTATGACCATGCACCAGTCACTCGTATTAATGAAGTTGGGAGCATACGTTTAATTCTGGATACTGTCACTTATGGCGTTGCTTTCGATTACAGAACCCATTTTGTCAATTTTTTGAGATGTCAGTTTGACTGGTTTGACCAGGTTTGACATAGTAATATTTTTATTGCGTTGTATTGTGTACAGTGGAAGAGTTGCTAGCGATTTGAAGAAAAAGCGATTTGTTGTTGTTGCTTTATAATAAGTATACTTCGATTGATGCGGAAGCAGCATTGGATAAATGCAATAAAATTAAAAGGAAACGATATGGTAAAAATAATAAAAAAATTAAAGAATAAAGTCTTTGTTATTCATTTAAAGACTTTTTAATAAACCCTGTACCAAATAATAATTTAATACCTAGTCATGTTTTTTTGATGTTTTTTGTAAAACATTGTAAACGACAAAATTTAATGTGTTTAAAGTTTTGCACAGTTTGTAAAGTTTTGTCGCCAAGCAATGCTTTCGTAAAAAATCATCGATAAACCTTTCAAATAACAAATTTAATTTATATTTCCCGCCTGCCAATGATTTCAGCGCTGTAGGTGACAGTATCCAAAACTAATTGCGCATTTCAATCAAACGTTTATAGTTGCCCATCTATATAACAAATATATTATATCTTATCTATGACTATGACGTTATACGCGTGCCATGTCGTGCAGGGTAGTGTAGTCCCAACGAACAAAGTTAATATATAAGTCCATTATTTGTTAACTATTTAGAACATTGTTAATACCTATTGTTTAGCAACTAACTAAAGTAGTTTTTAAGGAAAACTAAAACGAAATGTCTTCACAATTTTATTTTAACCTCTCTTGTCAGAAAAATTTTGTTCACATTTAAGTAATTCCCCCTCATACTTCACATCGTTTACAACCTCTTGATGTTGCATTTATGTTTCCATTATGTTCATATTATACCCAAGGTGTCCAAAATTGGCTAAAGAATAATCCTGGAAAAGTTATTACAATACATGAGGTTAGCGAGATATTTGGTCAAGCATACATGAGAGCTGCAACAATTGAAACTGCACTGTGTGGTTTTAAAAAACCGGGAATTTGTCCACATGATAATCAGATTTTTCCAGATATCGCGTTTGCAGCTGCAGAAGTTACTGACCGTCCTATTTTACAGGAAATTGATGCCAATCTAGCTGTAGAA